CAATGTGTAATGTTAAAGTCCTCTATTTACTTCTATAGACAGAGAAGAATGAAAAGAATTTTAACTTGTAAGTGATTATTTTTCAAGCCCCTGGTTTTGTTGTTTCTATTTAGAAATACGATGTTATTATAGTACGGCCAGAAATAATGTAAAGGCTTAAAAATACCCCACCTGCTAAACGTTAACGTTTTAAGCTAATGCGCAGATTACCTTCGACATTTTCTCAAAAACTTTATTAGCTAACATCTACCAATTATCAAATAAAAGAAATGTTAAATAATAATATATAATTATAGTCGTGTTTAGGATTTAACATTTAACAAGAGAGAAAATTAAAAATCTGTCAACAAATAAAATATAAATAACACACACACACACATATATATATATATATATATTGCCCTCCGTAATGTTTGAATACATAGCATATGATGACTCCATTTTCTGGGAGTTGGGAATTATTGAAAGTGCACGAAACAGAAGGAGTTTTCTAGTGCCTTGTAAGTAATATTATATTTCATTCATTGCTTAGCACAGCGGAATGTCTGTCGGCTTACAACACTGGAAACAGCGTTTAGATACCCGTGGTGGGCAGAGCACAGATAGCCCATTGTGTAGCATCTTTGTGTTTAACTCCAAAACAAACAATTTCTTTACGTAATATTTATTTCAATAACAGTATTGGTTTAAATTTGTAATACGTAATAAATATTTATTTTTATTATTTTTCACTTATTTATTATATATATTTTATTATGCTTATTATTTTGCATTGTTGTATTAAAATATAGATTTAAAACTAGCCTAAATTTCCTTAGCGGGTGCTGACCGAACCTCGTGAAATATGATTGGCCCAAAAGTGTTTAGGATGTTGTTAGCTTATGACATTGGATACTTATGCAGAGGTTAGGTATGCCTTATCAAATCGATTTTGGATCTTCAACATAACGTCACAGCCTATGTTAGCACGTCGTGTCTTACTATATATGACAATACCCTGCAGCTTATTTTCCGTTCTAAAAGATTCCGTCGTAATGCTGTCGTGTATAAAGCAAACCCTTCATCCCTACACGCTTTCCCTAAACCATCAAGCGTGCATGGACAATGGTTTTCCAGCGCACATTTTCATAATCCGATTGCACAGAAATCCATTCGAGCTGCGTCAGACTACTTGACTAGTATATCTTCATATGGAATAGCATGATTACATGTTTCACTCTCCAGCTGCTTGGGGTAGGCGATGGTTGAACGATGGATATTACTGAAAGCATTATCTTGGCGAATCTATACCCTGTTGGTCTCTTTTCAGTCAGAGATTTTTCTTGGAGAACGTGGACGGCTTTTGCCACTTACCTTTATATTTGTGGTTTTCACCTGTTACAAGAAGCTGCACATTGCTTTCCACGACTAGAGTACGACTTGTTACATGATTTTTTCTGAATGGTCCTGGTTCTCAAAATGGATTCATATTCCTTTGTTTTTCAATGCCATTAAGTATAAGGGATATACGTCACTGAAGAATTATAAATTCCCGATCTGAATACATCTTTACTACCTGAGTGTTTGAATGTTTTGCGTCTAAAAGGATTAGATACACTTCCCAATAGCAATCAATTTTCAGTGGCGTCATACTATGTAAATGACGCTTAATAATGGCTAAATGCCATTCCATTGTGAATCTATGTCGGCTGTGATTGCATATTTAAAATCATATTAATATAACGTACTCAACCATCTGTATATCTTATATAAAGAGAAAAATCATTTCAAAATAACGTTACTGATGATTTTACCACACTAAGCAAAAATATAGTTAAATGTTTATTTCTCGCTTTAATCTTATTTTTATTATGTCACTGTATAAGATTTTTAGAATTGAAAAGTTTTCTTTTTCCTTACTCATTTTGAGTTTGAAATTTTTTACTTAAGTACTTTTGTAAATAAAATTTCTATACTTTGTTTTAGATCTGAGTACCTTGCCTTCGTTTTCAGAACGTTGCAGAGTTATTACTGTAAAAAATAAAATCCTATAATTCATATGCAATAGGCTGTATTTTTAAATTATCTACTTTTTAGCTTTATGTGTAGCTTACTGCCAGATCATTTAATTTTGTTTGTTCAAATGGAACACCCCTCCCTTTATTTTAGAAAGCAATAAACTTTTTCAAAAGGACCATAAATAAACCTCTGATCTCACACGAATATTTTATGTATCGACACAAATACATACCCAGAAAAATCTTAATTAACGACACAAAGTCACGAATCTTCCAAGGCTGTGATTTAGCTCAGTGAGTGGTGAGTGTCTTAAATATTTTTAAAAAATCCTGAAATGCAAGCTGGTCTATACTGAAATCTCGAACCAAGAATATTGGAATCTGTGTATATATATAATTATATATATATATAATTTTCACTCATGAATAAATATATGAAAACATAAACAAGCTGAGCGCACACCGACAGATAAAATGCTTTCTTTGAGAAAAAATACATTAAAATTGTGCGATAATGAAAATTTAAAAAAACCCATTAACAGTGAACGTTCAGCATGGAGTCGGTATTTTTAAAAGTTATAAATATTCGTAACAATAAGTGTTTGGCCTCCAGTGGCACAGCGGTATGTCTGCGGACTCACAATGCTAGAATCCGTGTTTTGATACCCGTGGTGGGCAGAGCACAGATAACCCATTGTGTAGCTTTGTGCTTAATTACAAACAAACAAACAGTGTAAGTGCTTGCTCTTCTTACCACAGATAAAGCCTTTACATTTGGTTGCTACAAGAAAGACACATATATTCATTAAACATGAAAACAAAAACATGATCTTCAGTTTCTAGCACAATAATCGATCATAAACATTTGTATTTTTGAATTTTTGCAGTCTATGATTGAAAAGTCCAAATAATCTTGGTCGGTTTCAATAGACATTAAGTCGAAGCAAAGTATAAGACATAATATAGTTGCCTCTTCGAAATGATACTTAATAGTATCTATAGAATAATAGTTAATAATAGAATGGTAGTTTGTAGCTGAATGGTAGTAAATTTACTACTTCAGTATAAAGTTAAATATGAAATCAATATCTACTATATCTCGACGACAGATAGCTAGAAGTGTGGTCTTTTATAATTATGGGTCCAGTGTAATTGTTTTCTTCCATAAACGTATTTTTAGTTTAAAAAACACGATGATTGTGGAAATGTTTTATACGATGACACTAGAAGGTACGCTAAGGTCTTTTGTAGTGACACTAAGCTGCACGTCAACAGATAACTGTAGAAGTTATTACGCTACATTTCTGAAAGTTTTCTGTACTTACACCAATTCTGTCGTTAGAGAAATTTTTCAATGCAACGCTGCATGCTTTTGTCATACACTGTACGTTTTTTATGCTTGAATAACGTAAAATTTTAAGAGATAAATTTAATAAAAACTTTACTTTTTTCATCCTTTAACATTTTCTTAAGTAAAAAAAATTAAATTTATAGATTCGAAGAAAATTGCAAGCTAGTTGAAAAACGTTTAGTAAACTTTTCAAGTAAGTAGAGAAGTGTTTTCTCCACACGAATGATACAAGAAGTTAACTAGAAAGAAATTGTACAAAGTGTTATCCTTAAAAGAGGAAGATTTATAAAGATAATATAACGCTGCAAGGAAACAAACATAAAACCTTCAACTATTCTTAAAACTTTGGAAAGACGTAATTCTTGAAATTTATTATCCTAATAAACCATATATAAAAGTGGTGGACCCTGTCTTAAAAGAATAAATAAAAGATACAAAACAGCTAAAACTGAGATATCAAAGAATTTTTAAAATACGTCGGTGTTAACTTGATATCATCAAGATATATTTCAAGCCCTCACTGAACTGTATAACTATACAAAATTTATTTTTCTTAAACACCTAAAATTGTCATTTCCACACAAAGATAGCAATAAATGGGTTCTTAGTATTAAAAGTTGATTGCCTATCACAAAAGCCTTGGATTACAATCCCATTCGGCCTTAGTTTTCACTTCTTCAGAAAAGTTATTTCCAGATCCTAGTTGGTTGACCCTATGACACAGCGGTTAAGGCAATCCATTTATCAATAACTCTGCTAGGAAACTTCTTACATCAAGACATCGGCTATAGTAAAACCTTACGGCACGGCTGTAGGAACAGTTTGTATATGAAGAAGTCAGCCAGTTTTATGATCTAACAATAAGAAAACGCTTAACGTAGTATTAGTCTATGTTACTGATAATCTGATCATACTTAAAAATGATAAACGCGCAGAGAGTTTTATTTCGAAATTCGAAGAGTAATGTTAAACAGAGATTGCTACTTTCCAATCAATCAGACGATTTTCATTAATTGACCAGTTTGGTTCTTTATTTAAAATATTATAGTTTACAATACGTATACATATATTGATTTTCTATGTGGTCAGCAGAATTAAATTTCTAAATGTATAGCCAGACAAAAAAAAGTTTATACAAGTAACTGAAAATCTTTCTTCCCTTATTTCTATATCAAGTGAGACATCTTTACCTAGACAGTATTACACATGTTAATTACGTCTTTCAAACCATGCAATACTTTTTGTGTTGCTGCCCGGTCTAATTGTTATTTTGTGTAAATCCACGTTGCGTAGAACTTTATAACAGACAAAGTTTAGTGTATCTCCTGTGGTTGGTAAATGAAATGTGCTCTTTTTGGCAAGAAAACTGAACTTGAAGAGTTAAAAATGAAGATAATCTTTTATTCTGAACTTGATAATAAATACGCATCACTGTTTCGAGAATCAACAAGTAGATGACCAGTACCAAAACAGTTTTGTTAGTTGCAAACTGGATCTATTCCTTTTAGTCTTGCCTAATCAGTGCATATTTTGTTGTTTCCAAAAAATATCGAGAACTCCATAGAAAATGGGAAATTGCCTTGATTATATGAAATTTTAGGAAACAGACGTGTTCACTTTTTTTTTACCTTTTCCCTTATTTTTATTTTTAGGGCGCATGACATCCCTGTCTTCATGTAGCTGGATACAAAAACAATTTCTGCCTGTAGCAAGACAAGTACTTCGACGTAAGACTGCTCGCTACTTGAATAATGAAGCGGGCGGAGTAGGTGTCATATATGGTGTCGAAATGGTAAAAAAATAAACAGAACTGAGCAGAAAACAACCGACAGCAGTATTTCAAGTACCACTGGAGGAAAGTGAGTGTGCACGACTCTTCAATAAACAAAAGTGCATCTATTGTAAGAAGAATTTTAAGAAGGTTGAAACAATTGATCAATAATCAAACACCTTTCAGAAAAACGAACTTTTCAAATGTCTCATAACTTACTTAAACTGTCTCCCTATTTCTACAATATAATTCATTATATTATTTAATTTAGAAAACATTTCCATGCATGATTCTTAAAATACTTTTTTTTCAGGTTTATTTTTGACAGATTTAAATAAATCAATTATAAATTTATGCGACACTAAAGAACGGCTGAAATATATTGAGGCAAGTAAATGGATGGAAAGATAGGTAGCTGAATAGACAAATATGCAAAAGAACTTACTAAAGCAGCTGGAGTGTTGATTATACATATATAGTCGGCCCGGCATGGCCAGGTGGTTAAAGCACTCGACTCGCAATCTAAGGGTCGCGGGTTCGAATCCACGTCCCACCAAACATGCTCGCCCTTTCAGCTGTAGGGGCGTTGTAACGTAACGATCAATCCCACTATTCGTTGCTAAAAGAGTAGCCCAAGAGTTGGCGGTGGGTGGTGATGACTAGCTGCGTTCCCTATAGTGTAGCTTTGCGCGAAATTCAAAACAAACAAACAAACATGTATAGTTTAATTAGGTCTGTCACTCAGATTCAATAGCTAACTTTAGATGAAAAGTACTTACACTTCAAACTATGAGTATTTTATTAAGGTTTCTTCTCTTTGTGAGGGCTAGTTCTGTGTTGCAGTTTTAAATACACAAAGCTCGATCCGGTACATACATCTAAAGAATCTCCACACTTTCAGCGGTGAAGGCGTTACCTGAGAGTAAATCCCTTTTCTTTTTTTTTCTTTTGGTTATGAGTAACCGGGTAAGCAACGGGTTCTGATTAATGTTTGATTGCTCCTTATCTGAACGGCAGTTCCAAATTAGAGCTGGCTATGCCTGAACCACAGAGATTTCTAAATGACCGATTAGTATATATTTTGCCAAAGGTAACGTTGAAAATATTCAGTTTCACGAGAATGGACAGTATTCTTTATTTTAAAAAATTAATTGGTTTCATGATTCGAGAAAAGGTGCATAAGGTAGCTTTGGAAATTGGCATTTAATTATTGAAAGATACTAAATATTTTTGACCTAAAATGTAAATAACCCGTGTTAAAATTACCAAACTAGACTGAATAAAATTTGTTATTTCTCGATGATTGTATTTTATTAAAATAATAATATTCATAGCTTCCATGCTTTAAGACATAGACAATTATTTTTCAAACGTTTTGTTTTAATTTTTAAATGTTTACGTATATTAGTCTTTAACTCCAATAGAAATTCGTGTTTTCAGTACAGCTGTTGTTCTTATAAAGAGTATCCAAAGCTGAATAAAACGTCTACAACTAGATCTTCTGTTAAAAAGTGGGTATTGTGGTTTGGCCAATAAGCATGAAATTCGATTTAAGAAATAGAAATAACTTTTTATCGTAAATTTTATAAATAATATGGTAACATTCCTTTCTCCCTAAGAAATTTTTAATAGGTATAATGACAAGTCAAGTTGATAATAAATAAGATTTTTAAATTATGATTCACATAACATCTAAGCGATACAAATATACATTTCTGTCACTAGGGGTCGTTATAAAAACTATCAGTGGTCGTTGTTTGTTGAATTTCGCGCAAAACTGCTTGAAGGCTATCTGCGCTGTGTAAAATGCTTCTTTTGCACAACACGCTCTTTAAGCACAATTTACTGTGAAAAAGATAAACTGAAATACTTTCGTTTGGAATCAGTTAGGATGGAAATATCTGTAACTCTTTGGAGAAACAGTTCGATATCAATTATTGAAAATGTCCAGCTTTCTGTTATAATTTTACAAAAGTGGAAAGAGTAGATTATGACTTCAGCATGTTTTGAAAATACTTGAAAATAGAGAGATGAAACACAACATAAATGTATATTTGTGGAATTCCAGAATGTTGGACGAAATTAAACTTTTTAGTTGCTATTATGGTGTGGTGCAAGTCGATTATTGTTTTAGTTTTATGATTTGAGAATGAATAATTGAGTTTATAAAGTTTTATATATTTTACACTCACGGAAGCAAATAACGTTTAGTTTAATACAAATTCGATAAAAATACCAAGAGAAATTAAGACGTCTTGCAGTGAAAAGACATATATAGAACATTCATGAAACTTGATATAATTGTAAATCTATATTTGTAATCATATGGTCCGTTGATATTCCTTCTCATCGAATAATGTGTCGGATTAGAATTGTGTTTTTTATAGTTGAGAACACTTTCATTTAAAACATCTAAACGTTTACACTGAAAATTCTCTAATGCCCAAGTAAAATCTCCTTGTAACTGTTTAAACTAAATTTTGCTCATCAATCATTAAACATATTCTTCCATTTAAAACAACCACCTCTTCTTCAGAAGCAGAAATGTCCCTCTGTGACACAGCGGTAAGTCTAAGGACTTATAGCTCTAGAAACCGGGTTTCGATACTCGTGGTGGGCGCAGCACTGTGTAGCTTTGTGCTTAACTACAAACATAAAAACAGAGGCAAAAAATATTAGGCTTACACTTTTTATTTCAGAAGGTATGGATTTTATACTTTTCTTAAATGAGAGAAAAGAACAAATAGGGAAGTTGATCCGCAAAATAGAAGGATAGAAGTTTGTCTGCGTCCCTAATATAGCAGTGTAAAACTAGAGGGAAGGCAGCTAGTTATCACCACCCACCGCCAACTCTTTTACTAACGAATAGTGGAATTGACCTTCACGATATAACGCCCCCACGGCTGAAAGGGCGAGCATGTTTGGTGGGACGGGGATTCGAACCCGCGACTCGCAGATTGTGAGTCGATCGTCCTAACCACCTGGCCATGTTGGGCCGAAAAATAGAAGTTCGGTTCATGAAAATATGTTGGATAACTAAGGTAGCCGTAAAAAGAAAACTACGAGACTGGGTGCTTCACACCCATATGCACACTTTATTTACACAATCAGACAACAGACAAGCAAAGCTATAAATCACTTAATGACAGAATCAAATAAATTGGTTTTAAGACGCAAATGAATGACAAAATTTAATTGACACTAAATATAGTTGAAACTGAAAATCAAAATTTAATAAAACAAATGCTAGCTGATTTCAAGTCATTTACTTTCTTTGAAACCTGCCGCTACAATCTATTGTTCTTCAAATAACACAACATATAGCTAACTGTCTAATATTAGGGTGAGTTACGATTAGGATGGCCTAGATATAAATAATTTTGCCACTTCATGTGGCAATTGGCCGGCCAGATAACCTCAGTAATGTTAGTTTAAACTCTTTGTATTTTCATATGCAAAACAGAATGATCAGAAGGTTCTATATCCAGTAACTGCCTAAGCTATATAAATACAAAGGTATAGAATCACGGTTAGTCTGCAAAACAATCGATAAGAGGAAATATCACTTGGATTTTCAAAGTGGCGTGATATTTGTGCCATATTTAGCAGAAGGTCGTTATCAAAGTCCTTTTCTTTTACCACTTGTCCTCAGAGTCTATTAAGAGTGGCAGTCGAAAGAGGATATGCTCGTATTATGAAAAGTTTTCCCAACCGCTAATGATACACAAATAGAAAAAAATAATGAACAGGATTATAAAGTGTAACAGACATCAACAGTCTGATTTTACACAGTTTTTGAATAGTACTAAAATTTCGAGAAACTCCAACCTAACAAGAAGAAGACATCATAAGACTATCGTGTGTTAGCTTATAATCTATAAGAAACCCTTTTGTATCATATGTAAAAAGGAAAGTCATTAGAGTACAAATTGGAGACAATAGATCACTGAAATCATGAAGTGTAGAATCTCATATTTTCATGTCGTTACGGGTGAGCAGAGGTAAAAGGAAAATTACATAAGCACTGAACTCTGTTCCAACAGCTCAAACTGCTGATGGTTGTGTAATATTGTAGCGGATGGTCTCGTAAGAGCGAATTTGTTCTCTAATTCCTTTAGAAAAGTGAATAACATCCAGTATGTATTCTAACGTTGTTGCTAATCCCAACCACGCCGCCCCCAAGTGGCACAGCGGTATGTCTGCGGACTTAAAACACTAGAATCCGGGTTTCGATACCCGTGGTGGGCAGAACACAGATAGCCCATTGTGTAATTTTGTGCTTAATTACAAACAAACAAACCTAACCACACCACAATACACTATTTGCTAACATGA